TTTTTTTTTTTTTGGTGGAACCAGGGATTGAACTCAGGCCCTTGCACTTGCCAGGCAAGTGCTTATTCTACTGAGCCATCTCCCCCGCCCCTAGTTGGCTATTTTTTAAGAATTTCCATGAGATTACCTACTTTTTTCAAATTTCTGTTCCGAGTTGACTTTTCTTAGTCATTCAGCACCAAGCTACTTTGACTCTATGTCTAGTGTATGTATATGTGTGTGTGTGTATAACCATAATATTATATTTATATTATGTGTATATAACCATGCATTGCTTAATGATACAGAAATGTATGACTAGGTGGGTTTGTCATTGTGAGCATTATAGACTATATTTGCACAAACTAAGACAGTTACAGTGCCACTCAGTGATACCATTTTATGAAACCACAGTTATGTTTTCAGTCCGTTGTTGACTGAAGCATCAGTGTACAGCACATGACTGTGGGTGGACATGTATGTATGTATGCTGTATGCCTAGAAATACAGATTTTTCTGTAAGGTGAGTTACCATGAGTTTTGAAATTGTTGTTGATAATGAAAAACGTTCCTCACTGTGTTGGTAATCAAGCATTGAGCATGTTACTTGCCCTGAGGAGTCAAAATTGGCAGCTGGTTTTGTATATATCATACTACTTGACATGACTATAGTTTGAGTATCAAACTTCTGAAATCTTGTGATTTGATTAAAGGTTATATCTAAATCATAGGAAACTGTTGAACTTTAGAATTTGGAACTTGGTGGGGCATTGATTTTGGAACTATCTTTGGTTACTTATTTTTGTTTGTATGAACTCGTCCACTGCAATTGTAACCCAATCTTATAAATGTTGTTGTAGGAAGTTTTGGGAGCGGTTTATCACCCTGTGTCATGAAAATAGCAGCCTACATGGGATCACATTTGAACAGATCAAGGCTCAGTTAGAGGCTTTAGAACTAAAGAAGACATATGTGTTGAATCCACTGGCTCCTGAGTTTATCCCCCGGGCTCTAAGACTGCAGCATTCAGGAAACAGCAACAAACAGCAGCAATCACCACCCAAGGTAAAGCCTCCACTGTGAAGAAGGTAAAGGGTGAGAGCCGCGGAGCAGAGGTGTATTGGCCCTGATTTGCTTCAAGTATTAGACTGAAGGTTGCATTTGGTGGCTAGAAGTTTCTGCAGGGAACTTGTCTATATTTGGATATGTAGATGAAATACCATGTGCTATTTAGCTGTGTTTAATGTCATAATCATCCTCCAAAAGTTTTAATTACCTAAAAACTTCCAACATCTTTTGTGCAATGTAATTTTCTAGTCTTTTATACTGATAGATTGTTCTAGCTGTCACCTAAGATGTGAAGAAATATGAAGTTTAAAAGATTGTCATACATTTTAAAAGCATGTCTTACAACATGTTATTTATAAGTATTATGTTATAGTCACAGTGCTTGTATAAAGAAAGCAATTCTTTTACTGGTGACTGATTAATTTTGAATGTTATTTGACACAGTGAAAAAATTTGACCAATTCCTTAAAGATGGATTGATTCTTGACTCATTTTTATGTATTATGATACACAGGAGCCCAGGCAGGGTGTGGATGTGAGTGAGTAAAGACTAGCTCTGTTTTAAGCCATGGCTGTTTTGAGCGGGGAGCCAGATATTTGCTAGAGTACTGAAAAAATTTCCTTTCTTTTCTTTTGTTTTTGTTTTTGTTTTCCTCTTCTTTCTTTCTTTCTTTCTTTCTTTCTTTCTTTCTTTCTTTCTTTTTTTTTTTTTTTGTGGGACTGGGGATTGAACTCAGGCCCTTGAGCTTGCCAGGCAAGCACTTATTCTACTGAGCTATCTCCCTAGCCCCTGAAAAATTTCTTGAGTTGGCATCCTGAAAAGAAAGTTCTGAGAATGGCATGTATAATGTTGGCTTGTATTTTTGTGTGCATTTTATCCCTTCAGCATGGGATAAAACTTATTAACGTGAGTTAGAGTATGTCAGTGTTTTGGCTTTATTACACCTAATATGTAAACAATAATGAATGGTTTGATATTTTAAAAATCTTTTAGGTAAATATTAAGCTGAGTAATATAGTTTTGTATTACTCAGTAATATAGTATTACTCAGTACTATTCCTGAGTAATACAGTTTTGTATATTCTTAGGTTAATAAAACTGTACTGAATGTACAATATGCTTTAGTGATTTGACATTATTAGAGGATTAAAATTCTGCATAAATGAATCTCTTCTGTGTGCCAGGTGTTAGGACAGGTGCTATAGAAGCATGGATAAGAAGATTAGCCCCAAGTCCTTTTGTGGCAGCTGCTCAAGGAGATAGAGGATGGTAGCCAGAAGTAGGTAGACTCAAAGCGATTTACTTTCTCCACAGAAGTCATGTTTAGGAGGCGATTAAGAGGTTAGAAATAGTGTTAGACATTTGTGAGGGAAATGGAAAGAGAGTCTGTCCAAAAAATGTGTACATGAGGAAAAGAAAAAATTGTATATTTTGGGACTAAATTTTTTGAGATATTATGAGATTAATGCAAGTTACTTTTGCCTTCTATAATTACAAGAGGTGCTCAAAGTGGTGACCATTCGCTCCCAGGCATTTAATAGTATGGCAACTGCTGAAGTGTGTATACATTTTAAGGGGTGGATTTTGTATGTAAAATCTCCAAAAATATACGCTCAATTTTTATGGAGATTTCTGCCAGTACTGTTTTCTGCTGTAGCTTCCCTAGAGTTTGTCATAATTTTTAAACATGTTAGCTTTCTGTTACTGTGACAGATGTTTGAGGAAATCAACTTATAAAGAAAGAAAGTTTATTTTGGCTCACAGTGTTAGAAATTTCAGGCGGTGACTGGGCCTGTAGCTTAGCATATTCTTGGCAAATCAAAACTTCTTATCTCCTGGCTGGCGAGTGATAGGGAATAAATAAGGAGGAAGAGCCTGGGCTCCCAGTCTCCTTCAGAGTGTCCTCAGTAACCTGAAGACCTCTCACGAGGCCTTCTTATTGTTGTTATCTGTTGGGGAATCATACTGGGATACAGGCTACATAAGCACTTCACCACTAAGCTATGCCTGCAGCTCTGACCTCCACTTTGCAAAAGTCTGTCTTATGGCTGTATCTAAATGTCCCCCAAAGCCTCCTAGGCGGGCTTTTGGAAGGTGGCTGAATCAAGTGTGTGTGATGCTGGAACCAAGGATATACTGGCTAGGATTGATTCATGGTGCATTTCTAGGATCAAGGCTACTGTGCCCTGGCTTAAGGACAGTAGCCTGCATAGGATATAAGAGACAGAGCGAGGTCCTGCTTGTCACTTGCTCTCGCTGCCTTCTGCCTGCTGTCAGCTCTTCCTCCTCGGCAGTGTCTCTGCCCGTCCGCCCTGGGGCCATCCATCCTAACACTGAAACCTCTCCAAGCTTGAACCAAATACTCCTTTCCTCTTCTAACTTTGGGTATTGGATGTTCTGTCTCAGCAAAGAAAAAAGTAACCAAGACAGTCTGTCATCTGCCAGGGATGTCAAGCTGGGGCTTGGAATCCCAGATCCAAACTGCAGCAAACTTTTGTGAAGGATAAGGGCGGAGAGAGACCAATGGGTGTGCTAGCAGGTGCATGAGAAGAGAGCCTAGGCAGAGCTTTTCAACTTAAATTTTTTTTTTAATTTAAAATCATGTGTTATGGGCTGGTGAGATGGCTCAGTGGTCTAAAGCACCTACTTAGAACAAGCTAAGCTAAACAAAGCACAGGGACCGCGGTTCAATCCCCCAGCACCACATGCCAGCCAGCCCCGCCCCCTGGTGGGCTGAGCTGGACACACACACACACATAAATAAATAAAATTAAAAAAAAAAATTAAAAAAAAAAAAAAGAAAGCTATGTCTATATTTAAAAAAAAAAATCATGTGTTATAATTAGCCATCACATGTTCTTTAGTAGCACAAAGTAGTTACAATTAAGTCCTCTTAACTGAGTGATGTAAGCATCATTGAATATACTGTAGAGGAAGAGAGCCATTGTGCCAGGTGTGTATTGGTCTTAAGGAAGACCGCCGTTTGATCTGTGTTTTAACAGTGAAGAATACATATTGAGTTGACTTGTTTTTCTGAAACCATAAACTTCTGAAGACATCTTATCCTGTGTGCTTTTTATGACTGCTACCTCCGGAACCACTCATTGTACATAGCTTATGCCCAGTAAGTATAAGTCCCTGAGAAGTGAATGGAGGTTGTAGCACACCCAGTAGAATGTAATGTGACCTCTTTCTTTCAAAGTGAAAGTTGTATAAAAAAGCAACCGTGTCCCCAAATTTATCCTGAACTTTTAAAACATTTATCTTCACTATGGGTGTTCTGTTATTTTCCATATCATCAGCCCACCAGACTAACTATACTCCTGGTTGTTTAAAATTATTTATATGTATGACATAAATAATGGGTTATTTTGCATGACTATAAGTATAATGAGCCATAGATTATCTTTGTCACTGTTTTTCACTCTTCCAGCCTTTTACTTCTATAAAATTGCTTTCTGGGGTTTGAATTTATTTGGAGTCTTTTAAAATTTAACCTTATTTTATGAATAAATTTTAGAGAGACTAGTATAATGAATGAATCCTCTGTTATACAGCCTCATTAATTATCAACTTAATCTTTTTTCATGTATATCTCTACTTCTCCTGTTCACCCCACCAAACATACATGCCAGATAATTACTAGAGTCTCTTGGTGAAAGGGGATTTAGAGTAGAAAAGGGTAGTGTTCAGTTTTTCAAATTTCCTTAATTTTAACACTTGTCTGCCTATAAGAAATATTAAAATCAGTATCTTTATTTTTTTTATTTTTATTTTTTATTTTTGGCAGAACCAAGGATTGAACTCAGGCTCTTGTGCTTGCCAGGGAAGTGCTTATTCCCCTGAGCCATTTCCCTGGCCCTAAAATCAGTATCTTTAATACCAGAATAGAATTTATAATTCCTAAGATTTCACATAAATAAAATCGTCAAAAGCTTGTATGATGATCAAAATGCTCTAAGACTTGCTTTCTCTGGATTCAGTTTGACCACAGAATGTACCCCTGGTTGTCTAACAGTCAAAGAACTTTGTCTTAAGACTTGATTTTTGAAAGAGTTAGCCTAGGTACAAAATATTAAGGGACCTGGGAGTGGGTGGTCCTAGCTAGTTTTTCATTGCTTTACCTTCTGCAAATAAAGGACATGTTTTGTGGCACTCTTAAGAATTCACATTCCAGGGGCTGGGGAGATGAGGAGATGAGGTCAACCCCAGTTCCGCAAAAATAAATAAATAAATAAATAAATAAATAAATAAATAAATTAATTCACATTCCAGTGCCCTGCTGGCCAAATAGCTCAGCAGATAAAAGTACCTCCAAGCAGGGGAAGGGGCTTTGATCCCCGGGCCTCCTGTGCCAGCCGCACCCCTGGGGCGCCCAGAGACAGCAATTTAGACTGGGTGTGGTGGCACACGCCTGTAATCCCAGCACTTGGGAGGCTATAAACAGGCAAGTCACTATGAGTCCTATCTAGTAGTGAGACCCCAAACACCCTGTAGATCCTTCCCTAAAATAAAGGGGGAAAAAAACCCCTCATTCCATCTGTCCCCACCTGGCTTGCTTTTAGGACACATACAGGGAACAATTCAGAAGCCAGGTTTTCTTTTTACACATACCATGCATACTTCAGAAGATAGGTAATACTCTGAAATAGGTCCTCTAAAGACTACATCACCATTTTATAGACTATAACTATTTCTGTACCATCTATATCTAGCTGCTAATGTCATGATGCGTACTGTATAGTCCTAAGAAAGTGTTTATCTGAGTGTTGGTGCCCAGTCAAGTTGGACATGGGGTGGGTCCTTGGTAGACATTTGTTGAATGAATAAATGGTTAAGTGAATAAAAGCTAGATAGTAGCTAGGTATGGTAGTACATGCCTGTAGTCACAGAATTCTGGGAGGCTGAGGCAACAGGATAGCAAATTGGAGTCCAGCCTGGGCAACTTAGTCATTTAGATGCAGACTCAAAACAAATAAAAATTAAATTAAAAAGGCCAGTGATGTACCATTCTATAAAGACCCTGGAGGGCCGGGGAGATGGCTCAGTGGAATAAGCGCTTCCCTGGCAAGCGCAAGGTCCTGAGTTCAATCCCTGGTTCCGCAAAAAAAAAAAAAAAAAGACCCTGGTGGGTTCATTCTCCAGCAACTAAAAAAACAAAAACAAAAAACAGGTAATGTAAACTATATTTGTTTGTAACGAATAGATGATTTGAGCTTCATTTACTTCTAAACATCCTAACTTAGCATTCTGCCAAAGGTAATGCTTTCTGAGATTTATTATCAGGATGAAATTAGCTTGGGGGGCTGGCGAGATAGCTCAGTGGTCTAAAGCACCTGCTTAGGCAGGTGCAGGGGGTGACAGTTCAATCCCCAGCACCACATGCCATGCTAGCCCTGGCCTTAGGGTGGACTGAACTGGCCCAAAATAAATAAATAAATAACTTTAAAAAAAGAAATTAGCTTAGAATTATTATTATGGGATAACATAGTAGCTAGTGATGCAATGGCTTATTGCAGTATAACTATTTTATTTGTATACTACCAAACACTGTAGTTTGTGAAGACCAAGTACATTTGCTCCCTACAGCTACCCACTAAGTCAAAATATGGTAGGTAGTTGTATTGAACTGTGTACTACTGAGTTACTCTTCTCATTCTCTTTTCTTTTGGTACAGGGGATCGAACTTAGGACCTTGCGCTTGCTAGGCAGGCGCTTATGCCACTGAGCGAGCTATATCCCCGACCCCTGAATTATTGTTTTAGACCTGCCACTGTCTTTTTATGGAATAGGCCTCAATTTTCTTTATGTTTAGTATATGTTTAGTGTACCATATAGTGCCCAGAATGCTGAACTATATCAGTTAGTGTGCCTCTGCCTTTATCATCTAGGGCAGTCGTGGCAACCCTGTGGCATGCATACTGCAGCAGGCTGTTTATACCATTGAAAGCTCTGAAAGTGTCTTCTATGAGTGACGGCAAACCTTTTAGAGCCTGCTATGGCGCGTGTACCATAGGTTCATCAGCACTGCCTTATACCTGTTCTATGGATAACTCTTCGTATTAGTTTCCCATTGCTGCTATAACAAATTATCATAAATACAATAACTTGTATCTCACAGTTCTGTAAGTCAGATGTCAGGGTTGGTTGGTTTGGATGTGTGTTCCAGCTTCCACAAGATTGTGACTACTGGTCTCTTACCTGGTCTTTTCACCCAAATATCATCATTTTTAATGGTAGATTAATATATAAATCTGCCAGTGCTTAGTAAGTCCTCCATTGGTAGACATTTAGATTGTTAACATTTATCATACATATAAACCATGGCCTGAAGAGCATCAGTCCCCAAATCCATGATTATTTCATTTGGATAAATTCCTAGAAATAGAATTATACCATTACTGTAAATAAATATACAGTACTGTACATTTTTGATACATACATACATATATATATTTCAAATTGCTGTATAGTGACTAGGTAGAATGTCTCCTAAGTAATTTTAACAGTACCTTCTAAACGAACAGTGTGCTGTTCCTTTAGCAAATCTTAACTGTAAGATATTATGTCTTGGAGTCGGGAGATAGCTCAGTAGAATAAGCCCTTGCCTGGTAAGCTCAAGGGCCTGAGTTCAATCCCCAGTTCTGCAAAAAAAAAAAAAAAGATATTATGTCTCTCTCCTCCCCAGCCCCAACAGAGACTTGCTGTGTAGCCCAGGCTGGCCTTGAATTCAGGGCAATCCTCCTGCCTCAGCCTCACAAGTGCTGGGAATTACAGGCATGCAGCACCATGGCTGATTAAGATACTATGAGTCATACTCAAAATATTATTACTCTTAAACCATGTTTATGTTCCTTTTGCTGTTTTAAAGGTTTTCATCCTCAAGATAAAAGATGGAAATTTTTCCCTTGAAAAACAGCTTTTATGTTTTGCCATTTAATGCTTAGGAAATTTATACAGAAGCTCAAAGGGATAGAATTTAGGTTTTGGTTGTGTTGTTTATTGCTTTTCATTAAAACAATCCATTAGAAAAGGAATTTCAGGGCCGGCCTGATAGCTCAGCAGACTAAAGTGCCTGCTTAGGCAGAGCGCAGCCGCTGGGGTTTGATCCCTGGCATGCTGTGCCAGCCCTGACCGCGGGGCACACTGAGATGGTGATTGAGACTGGGTGTGGCGGCGTGCATGTGTAATCCCAGCACTTGGGAGGCTGAAAACAGGAGAATCACTACGAGTTCGATCTACGCAGTGAGACCCTGTAGACCCTGTAGATTTTGTCCTACATACAAAAAAAGAAAGAAAGAAAGAAAGAAAGAAAGAAAGAAAGAAAGAAAGAAAGAAAGAAAGAAAAATTTCAGATGCCCTTAATTTAACAGGAATTCTGGAGGCTCAGCAGTGTTACCTGTGATGACGGTGTTCTCACCTTTTAAAAGAAACCTGGCTCAAAGAAGCAGAATAGTTATCAGTTATCAGCTCAACGTTTTTAAATCTTACTTGGTGTTTATATTTAATTTATATATAGTTAAGAAAAGGGTTTTTGTTTGTTCATATTTAAATTATTACACTTTTGTGTTTTTTCTTTAAAGGGGAAAAGCCTCTATCATACCCCAAATGATCATTTCCAGAATGATGGAATTGGTAAGTAGAGAAATAAACCTGATTAAAACTTACCTTTATGACAGAGATTTACTGCAGATTGCACTATGAGAAACATATCTGTCTCTGTCTCAGCGTCCTTTTCTCGCTGTCCTTTTGCATACACACATAAACACAGTCATTTTGGAACCTCAGTTAATTATTGTTTTAAAATATCAATTGATAGGCCATTTCTGAAAAGGGGACAGACTTTAGGCACCAGCATATGGTTTCTGCAGAAGTTTTGAGGAAAATATTTAAGCCTGTTATACAATATAAATTCTTAGAAAATATTTCTATTCTACAAATACTGAGTCATACAGATTTCAAGATAAAGTTTACTCAAATGATTTTTTGTTGCAGAATTATGTTTTAAATAATTGCTTCATTTTATATATTGGCTGTATTATAACTGCAAATCAAAACTAATTTATTCTAAAGAATCATGTTTCCCTGGTCCGAGGGTAGTGTTTACCAGAAGTGTGTGCACAGATGATTTTCTTTTTTATTTTTTGTATTTAGTGCTCGGTCTACAGGGTCTCACTACACAGATTGGACTCACAGTGATCCTCCTGCTTTCACCTTCCCAATTGCTGTATCAGCATGCCCCGGGGGGGGGGGCCGGCCCGGCAGACTGGGTCTCAAACTCCCAGCCCCTGCATCTGCCTAAACAGGCGCTTTAATCCACTAAGCTGTCTGGCCGGCCCAATTTTCATTCTTGATGGTCACACCTTTGGCTCCTCAGAAGCTATAATTATACTTGTTATGAAAGTAATTCTTTCTAAATCAGCTCAAGTTGATTTTAGAGGACATTATAAAATGGCTACTTATTACATACACTTTATTCTTCCATATTGATAATTCTTTGACTTTTATTTGTGACAAACTGAGAAACTCTTATTGTTGTTGGGTGCATTTTTGTTTAGGTAAATCGAGCAGCTCTTGAGTGTATTCTTTTTCTATTTTTCAGTTCAGCCTAATCCTTCCGTACTTATTGGCAATCCTATTAGAGCCTATACTCCTCCACCCCCTCTTGGACCTCACCCAAATTTGGGAAAATCTCCAAGCCCTGTTCAGAGAATTGATCCTCACACTGGGACAAGTATTCTTTACGTACCTGCTGTCTATGGAGGGAATGTAGTTATGTCGGTGCCTTTACCTGTAAGTGAATGTTTGAAATTCTTCCTGTTAAGATACTTTCTGTTAAGTAAGTTTCACAAAATTAGCCACAGTCCCTGTTTGTCAACTGCCAACCTGTTCTGGGCAGGAGAGGGGACAGTTCTAGGGTCTCATTGAGTGCTAGGCTTTACCACTGCATTACACTCTTGGCTCCCAATCTTTTTTTTTTTTTTTTCTTTCCTTTAATGTCTGCAAGCTTCTTTAAAAGTAAATATTGTCTTTACAATTAAATTTTGAAGTGACCAGAGAAATTACGTTGTTGCTTGCAATTTGCCTCTTGAAGAAATCTATAAATTGGGTCTTTGATTTAAAAGCCTGTATATTCTTTTAAAATGAATATATATCTTTTTCTCTGATAAAAATTGGGCTAAAGTATTAATGAGCTATAAATTGGTTTCTTAATTTTGTAAAGTGATGCTTCCATTTTGTTTTTTGCTTTATATTTTACATTAAGTCCTGGACTTTTCCTAGGAGGTAGATGGTTGGAGGAATTGGAAAGGCTGGAGTTAGTAAAGTTCTTTTGGGTCTGAATTTGAGAAATTTTATGCCTTATGAAAGCTTACTAAGCTACTAAAATACATGATTGAGTCCTTTCTCAGACTATATTTTTAGAGGATTTGCATCTTGTATAAACTCATCTTATTTCCTTTAATGTTTTGGAAATTTATTGGTTTTGTTTGTTTATAATTTTCAGATATATAAATATTTTTAAATTTGGAGGTTTTAACCTAGGAAAGAATTCTTTCATTTAAGTAAAGTTCTGTCATTTCAGGCAGAGATGATGATTGCCAGAGATTTTTGTTATACCCCCAAAAGAAAAAAATGCTTACCTACAAAGTTTTTAGTCATGGTGGACTGATAGTTCATGCTCATGACAGCCACGGAAAGTGACTGTCAGTAAGAATATGTAGCTCATGCCCACTTGCCAGAGAATTTAGACTTTCACCTGTGTTATTTCTTCCCAGACAGCCTGGCAACATTATACATCATTTGCTTTAAATAGTAAGTCTCTAAGGATTTGAGTTTCACTTTACTAGGTCAAAAAGGCTTTTGTTATATAAAATTTCTAAGCATCTGCATCAGACACTTACACTAAAAATAGCAGTTGTTCTTTTGTCATTGTATTTATTCCTTTTATTTTAAAATGCAGAGATTATACATCCAGATACGCTGAAACAACTTCTTTTATTTATGTATTTATTTGGCACAGGGTTTGCTACGCAGCTCAGACTCGTAGTGATCCTCCTGTCTAAGCATCCCCAGCTCTGGGATTACCGGTGTGCGTCACCACACCCATTCTTGGTTACTAGCCTGGCACCCAGGACTGGCATGGCATTTACCAGGGATCAAGCCCGGGTCCTTGCACTTGCCAGGCAGCATTTAGACCACTGAGCTATCTGTCCAGCCCTGGAACAACTTTTTTATTTCTGTACTTTAAATTAAAATTGAATTAGCCAAAAATAATGACTTGTTTGAATTTTACTTACAATAGATGAACATTAGATGATTTGATTATTCTTATAAAGTTGAAACATACATTTTTTGACTTGAGACTGCTTAGACTAAATTTTTTCTTTCCCATTCTCTTAAACTATGTAACTATGCAGTTATGACCTAAAAAGATAACTTTCATGATAATATGTGACATAGATGCATTCATATTATGAGGAAATGATTCAAATATAAAAGACATTAAATGTCTAGGAATAAAGTCCTCCGTTTCTTCCTAATCTGAGTTGGGGTTTTTTGTTTTTTGTTTTTTGTTTTTTGTTTTTTTGATGGAACTGGGGATTGAACTCAGGTCCTTGCACTTGCCAGGGCAGCACTTATTCCATTGAGCCGTCTTCCTGGCCCCTTCTTCCTAATCTGAAGGTATAGTGTTTCTCCCTTTACACACTAATGGTTCAGGGAGCCATGCTTTGGCCAGTTTTAGACAGTACAGTGATTTTGCCAATGGTTACTACTAACTAACCTTAACCAGGTAGCTATCATCTATATTTGCTTTTTCCTAACTAACAGGACTGTACAAGTTTGCATTTTAAAATACATTTAATGCAGTCATTTTATTTCTTGTAATAACCTAGGTGCCATGGACAGGATACCAGGGTAGGTTTGCAGTTGATCCTCGAATCATCACACATCAGGCAGCTATGGCCTACAATATGAACCTCTTACAGACGCATGGACGGAGGTCTCCTATACATTATGGCCTTGGACATCACCCACCTGTCAGCATAGGGCAGCCACAGAACCAGCACACTGAGAAGGATCAGCACGAGCAAAGTCGAAATGGTAGGTTGTTGTGCTTCTCTGCAGTGTGATTGTTAAATGTGGATTCTAGACCTGCTTAAGAGAGAACCTATTAAAAACTTGGGATCCTTTCTTCTGATGATACAAGTAAGTATGCAGGTAAAAACTTTGCATTTAATTTTAGAGTCTTTTAGATTAAGCTGCCCCACTTACTGTTTCACAAATTTCCTAAAATGTATTAAATTTTGATACTTAGAGACCTTTAAGTAATATCATTTATTGATCAGCTAGAACATCCTCTCCTATTAGACATTTTTAATAACCCACAATATTACTGTGACATTCCTAGGATTACTGTTATTGTGGGATAGTTGATTTAAAGTAATTATTTCTTATGCAAATCTGTTGTAATTACAAATAAGAAAAATTACATACTACTTTTTTAGTCAAGTTAATGGAATAATTTATATGTAGTAAAATTTACCTTTTAAAAAGGTACAGTTTGATGAGCTTTAATAATTAGAGTTAAGTACCACCAAAATCAAGATACGAATACTTGCATCAGTCCTAAAAGCTCCTTCATGCCCCTTTGCGGACAGCCCCCAGCCCCTACCCTAGCCCTTAGTAACCACTAAGGTTAACTTTTGATTTTCCGTTTAGTACTTCAGATCACTGTAATCACACAGTGTGTAGTTTTTAAAGTCTGGCTGTGTTTACTTAATACCTCTGATATTCCATCAGGTTAAATTTAGCAATTGTTTGTCCTTTTTACTGTTGATGAGTATTCCATTATGAGGGTACATCACAATGTGTTCATCCGTTCATCATCTGATGGGCACGTTCATTATTTCAATTTCTTTTTAAGTTTTACTTGCCTACCTAGGGCACCTTACATAGTAGGCAAGAGCTGTATGTAATTTTTGGCATTGATGACTAAAGCTGCTGTGGACATTTTTATTTTTCTATAGTAAATACCTAGAAGATTGCTAGGCATATTGTAAATATATATTTAGCTTTCTTTAAAAACTATACTATTTTCCAAAATAGCTATTTCTTTTATTTCTACTAGTAATGTGTAAGATTTTCCATTGTTCCATGTTCTTGTCAACAGTTGATATGTTCAGTCTTTTAACCTATCCTTTTAGTGAGTGTCTGATAGTATGGTCTGGTGGTGTTAATTTGCATAGCCCAGTAACTAATGATATTGAATTATCTTTTCGTTGTGTTTATTTCCAGATGTGTTAGGATCTTTCAAAGAACAGAACTTTTTTTTTTTTGTGAAATCTAGTTTATCCATCTATTCTATGATATTTCGGTGTTGTGACTAAAATTTTTTTACCTAGGACTGGTGAGATAAGCAGGTTAGGCAAGCTTAGGCAAGCGCAGGGGCTGCCTCCAGGACCGATTGAGCTGGCCAGAGTCTGGGTATACTGGCACATGCATGTAATCCCAGCACTGGGGAGGCTGAAAGCAGGAGGATCACCATGAGTTCAAGCTGCATAGTGAGACCCTGCACCAGCCAAATACATGAAAAAAAAAAAGTCTTACCCAATTTTAAAAATTATTCTCTTATTTTCAAGAAGTCTTAATAGTCTCAGCTTTTATATTAGATCCATTTTCAATTAAAATTTGTATTTGTTGTAGTTTTGGTTTTGCAAATTATGGTCAGTTGTTCCAGGATCATTCATTGAAAACTGTCCTTTTCCTTATTGAACTGCCTTGATGCTTTTGATGAAAGTCACTTGACTGTATACTCGCAGTTACGGTTTGTGTCTAGATGTCTCCCAAAGCCTCGTGCAGTGATGGGGCGGCTTCTAGTGTTTGTGATTCATTTATGATCCAATGCTGGAACTATGGATGTGAGTGCTGCACCCTCCCTAGGCAGATAATCTGCAGTACAGTGTAAGGAGGGGAGAGAGGCTTGCTAGCATCCACAGCTGCTGCTCTTCACCGCGGCTCTTTTGCTGTCTGCCGCTGCCCTGAACAGCTGCCCTCTGCCCTGTGCTGCTCTGCCTTGGAGCCACCTGAGTATGGACTGGAACTTCCACTATGAGCTAACTAAGCCTTTCCTTCCCTAATTTTGGGTGTTGGGTATTTTGTCCCAGCAATGTGAGAAAAGTAACCAGATCACACTCTTCTATTGATGCATATATTTTATCTACATACCAAATATGCTGTATTGATTACTATGGCTTATAAAAGTTTGGGAACCAGGGAACGAACAGAAGTCTGCCAATGTGTTGTTTTTTGGGTTGTCGACTCCAGGTGTTCTTCCTTTTCTGTCTACATTCAGAATCAGCTTGTCAGTTTCCATCAAAAATGTAAAAAAATAAAAAATCCCCTTAGCATTTTACTGGGATCCATTATGTTTGAGTGTCAGTTTTGAGAAAATACTAAATTTTCTAGTCTATGACCGGGAGGGAGGGAAGGAAGGAGGGGGACATTGTGGAGCAACTTTCTTTGTCCCTGGTAATATTCTTTGCTCTGAGATCTACTTTGTTTAAATTAGTGTAGTTAGTTTCTGCTTTTTATTGGACTAGTAGTATGTCTCTTTTTGACCCTTTGATTTCAGTTTATTTGTGTTTTTATATTTAAAGTATTTTTGAGGGGTAGGAGTATACCTCAGTGGTAAAGCATGTGCTTAGTATGTATAGGCCCTAGGTTGAATCCCCAAGAACAGAAAAGTATGTTTCTGTTAGATAGCATTGGGTCTTGATTTTTTTTTAAGAAATTCAATATGACAAGCCTCTACTTTCGACTAGGTATGTACACCGTTTACATTTAATGTGGATCACTGATGTAGTTAGGTTTGAGTCTGTTATCTTGCTGCTGCCCTTTAACTTGCCAAGATTTTTTTCTCTTTCTCATCTCCATTCTTCTGGTTTAAATGTTTTTTTTAGGTTCCATTTTTGTCAGGTGGATGGGTACCGGGAATCACTTGCCAGGCAAGTGCTGTGCCGCTGCGCTATATCCCCAGCCCTTAGATTTCATTTTATCTCCTTTGCTGGCTTAGGAGCTATGCTATTAGTAGTATTTCAGTAGTTGTTTTGGGATTTATAGTATATATTTTGTTGTCTGCTTTCCAATTCATATTTTACTATTTCATGCACAGTAAAAGAACCTTATAATATTTTAATTTTTCTCTTGATTTTTATGCTATTGTTATCTTTTTATAAAGTAATCATATACTTACCCATGTAGTTACCATTTGAATCTTCCTTCCTGTTTGTCTCCATCTGAGAAAATGTTCATTCTGCCTGAAGGGGTGGTAATAATGGCTTCTCCTTCCTCCCCCTTTTTTGTAATGGTCTATACTTTGTGTTTCACGTGTGCTGCTAATGAATTCTGCCAGCATTTCTATATCTGACAGTGGCCTTATTTCATTTTCATTTTTTAGAGAGTTCTTCCAAGTAGGAAGTTCTTAGTTGGCAGTCATTCAGTGTTTTAATAGCATCTTTCTTTTTTCTCCCTTGCCTTGTTTTTGTTGAGAAATCTGATGTTCTAATCTTTGTCTTTATTATGTATTTTTTTCTGTTGCCTTAAAATTGTCTTAAATGCTGGTTTTAGCAGTTTGATTATGATAACACCTTTTTAGAGTTTTCTTCATGTTTGGGGTTTGTTGAACGTTCTGAATCTTTTTTTTTTTTTCATGAAATTTAGAAAATTTCAAGCTTTATATCCTGAGATAAATTGTATATGGATGTGTGTGTGTGTTAAACTTTCCCCTCTTCTTTAGGAATTCTGATTAACCATATATTAGGATGAGAAATCATTCTCAAGGTTCATTGGTTTGCTTAATTTTTTCTTCAGTGTTCCCCAAGTTTTTCTTTGCAGAGTCTTGTCTGCTACTCATTCCACCCAGTGTTTTCACCTGACACTGTAGCCTCCTTTTCTAAATATCTCTACATCACTGGCTTTTTGTCCTTGAAGTTTAGTGGCAAGGCTGTGCGAGCATAATAGTTCATTTTGCAAAGTTCTGGTTCTATTACTGAAATAATGTATTTGTACCTAAAACCAAAAATAAAGATTCTTTCAAGGAATTTAAAAACATTCAGCCATTCTGAAACAAAACAAAACAAAACATTCAGCCATTAATTCTTGTAGATTAAAATTTTTCACAGTTTAAGTCTATTGTAATTGTGGTTTTTTTTTTATTTACTTACTTATTTTTGTATTTTAGGGAAGGGTCTACAGGGATGTGTGTGTGTGTGTCAAACACATCCTATGCAGGGTCTCACTACTAGACCGGACTCGTAGTGATCCGCCTGTTTACAGCCTCCTAAGACCTGGGATTATAGGGGTATGCCACCACGCCCAGTCTCAATTGCCATTTCAGCGCACCCCGGGGGCAGGGCCAGCATGGCAGGCCCGGGGGTTTGAACCCCACTATCTATATTCATAATCCACATGTATTTAATTTGTTGTAACTTAATTCCTTTCAGAGTATCTTTATTCATCTTATTAGTCAGATTTCCATCACTGGGACAAAGTACCTGAGATAAAAACTTAAAAGGAAGAAAGGTTTATTTTGGCCCAGGTTTGAGAGGTTTCAGTGGTCCCCAAGGTTAAGGACTTGTGGTAATGGCACAGTAGTACATCCTGGTAGAAGCACAGACCAACGGGGTCTGTTTACCTGAAGGCTGGGGATCAACACAAAGGAGAGGAAGGAGCAAGGGTCCCATTATTGCCTTTGTGTGCTTGTCTCTGGGTGACCTAACCTTTTCTCCCAAGTTCCCATCTTTGAAGTTCCATAACCTCCCAATGGTGTCATGGCCCAGGGACCAGCCTGTTAGCATAGGGGTCTGGGTGGAATTTAGGATTTAAACTGCTACATTTAATTTAGATTCCTTTACTGAAGTTGATTGGATTTTTGCTAAATTGCATTGGTAGGTGAGCAAAAACACTTTAGAGTCTTTATAAATAGCTAAGAATTCCAAATTCCTTTATATGTCTACTTTAAAATAATGAGGCTATAAATTCTTGGATATTGGGCAATTTGAGAGGGATTTTTTGATCTTTTAAGATTATTTCTTGTTTAAACTTTTGCTTTTCCAATGAGGTTTACTTCACTGAATAAATTTTCTTTCTTGCAATGAAACTACCTCTGAAAGTTTAAGACCAAAACCCAAGTAATAATATAAATCAATAATGAGTATAAAATGTTTAAAATATTCTGCTTCTTTGTCTAATATTGGATAATTATTGGAAGTGTTATGGTCACTGGAGAAAATTTATAAGAATTTTAAAATATTTTCATAGGTAAGAGTGATACAACTAATCATGCACCTGAAATTAATAAGATTCGCACACCAGAGAAAAAACCTCCAGAGCCAAAACAGGTATGTAGCTTACAGTTCATGAGTGGCTTGTTCCAATGGATTTCCTCTGATTTGGCATCTTGGAGCCTTGATGTTTGTAAGAAAAATTTAAATAGCTTTTTATGCATATCTTTTATAATTATTGTTTGACAGAGATTTGTGAGTTACATTATACTTTCTGTCACTGTTCCTTTGGCTGTTACTTCCTTGACCTGTGTATTTTTCTCGAGTTCTATTATCAGTGATAAGACTTGAATTCAAAGACTTTCCATAATATGGTGGTAAATGAAGCCTGAACTAAGATGTCAGTGAAAATGATCTCAGAATGGGAAGTGTTGTCACAGAGAAAGAAGATGAGTTCACTTCCTCTGGTTGCTCACTTTGTTCTCATCACACCCGGTGCATATTTAACATTAGCTTACTGTTCTACTTCATTGACTTTTTGTTCTTGTGAATCAATGACAGAAAACCACACCACTGGTTAAATTAGTGTCATGGGACTAATCCGCATGGAACCCATTGAGTTCCCTCACTTTCTTTTGCATGTACTTGGTTCCTTTGCCAGGGTTCTCAGTGGCCCTTCTCAAATCTGATGACCTTTCACCTCCTTTCTCCTTCTGATCTCGGACTTGGCCTTGTTGTTTGCAGTGTGAATGTCTTGCCTTTCCCTTACCTCTGAAGCTTTTTACTTCCTTATCACCAGTCTTAAAGGAAGAGTTCCTGTTACATTAATCTCACTTCCAGTTCCTCACAGATCTTTTCCTTCTATTCAATTTTCTTTAAATTCATTGCAGCTGTTGGTTCTTCCTCTTCTGCCTGCAAAGTAGCTGCTTGTCTTTTTACCCCAAGTTAAGTAGTTTTTAAAAAGATACTCATGACCTCCATCTCCGTCATAGCTCATTTGTAATAGCTCATTTTCACCTCAGGTCTGTCTTCCTCTTTTAGTTCATAACAGGCTGATAATAGGCCTCAGCATTTCGCAAACACTGGTGAGTTCCAAGTGACCACAGCTTATGAACACACTTTCATATTAGTCTTACTTGGGGATTTTTTTGGTTTGTTTGTTTGGTATTTAGCACTTCTTTTTGTATTAGGCACTGTGAGGGGGGGAACAGCATTTTCTAAGTCTGCCTTTGACCATCTTGCTCTTTGGTTTCTTTGGTGTAATTCTACTTTTCACTGCTCTCTACTGTAACTGTCTCTCATTTCACTTCCTGTTTGCCCTCACTGTATTTAAGGATCCCTAAATTGGGATTTCCCAGAGTTCTGTTATTGCCCTCCTTCTATTTATATTCTCTGGTTGCTTATTATAAAGTAGCCCAGTCTCTGATTGTAAGCAACCATGCCATAAAAATGACTTCCACATCTGCATCTTCAACTTCAGTCTAGCTTTGAGCAGCTAGTTTCTGTGTTCAGTCATTTATGTCCATAAGCATCTCTGACAGGTAGAAGTATTAGAGGAATTTCATATTGTAGGAGGAGCCATAGCATGAAGGAGACAGCAAGAGGAGTCTTTTCTCAATAGTAATTGAAAATCACCATGGTGTGTGTTTGGGAGGGTACAGAGAGAATGAATGACATGTTAGTGTGTACAGCAGTAGTAGATGTAGTCAGAGGCAGCTCGGGACAAAAGCAACTGAGTCTTTGATGTTATGGGAGCAAATAAAGCCAAGAGAGCTGAGTATCTCTGTCCTTTCTAAATTCCTGTTATGAATCTTCTCTGTTAGAGGACTAGACTACCTGACAGCCATACTTCATTTTATTTCTTCCTTGGTGTTTTGTCTTGGGTTCAGGAAGAATAAATAAAAGAACTGCTCATTCTCTCTGACTCTGCGTCTGTGTTTAGAAGAGAGTGGTAAGAGGAGAATCAAATTCTGGGTAGGTGACATAGGTTCCCTCAGACCTTGTAATCTTGTTAAGCATGCCCATGGTAAAATTATAACATAGTATAATTATGAATTAATTTTCTGTGACACAAACCTCGCTTCCTGTCCATGTCAAAGTCAGAAGTGGCAGTGGCAACTAAAACAGCATCCTATCTACAAATGACCCTGCCATCTACTTACAGTCTTCCTCATATAATCAGATCATGCATCTCAGTGCATCTTCTGGACAAAGGTGTATTCAGACTGCTGTTGACTTGGACAACAACCAAATGAAGATTCATAGGGGGAAATGTTAGCTCATAAAGAACCTTAATCAGGTTCTAAGCCAGTTACAGAGAAGTCATGGCAACTTCTTGGAAAGACTGGGACAAGGCTGTCAGTCTTCTTTCTTCTTTTTGTAGATAATTTTATAGATCTCCAGTAATCTTAAGGACTCAGAGGGCCAACTATAATGGAGTCCATTTGAATTAGGACTCCATGTGACACAAGGTGTGAATGCGCTCAGGAATGATTGGTGGTGTTGTCAGAGCTGGAAAAGAAAGATACCCTCTTTCCAACTTATAATTTGTTGGAAATTATATCACTATATCACCACTTAGAATCAAACTTACATTTTAGAAGGGTAATACTATTATCTCCTTTTAAAAACATTTCATAGTTTACCACAGTTTAATGGGATTAAAATCAGTGTTTAGACTCAGTATTCAATAATTCAGGATCTTATGCAACTGGAGTATTTTTTTCTTGACAAAAAGGGAAAAATAACATATAAACAGGTGAGATTTTAGCTTTTTGCACACAAAACTTCTCAGCCTCCCTGGATTCACAATACTTTTTCTGTTCTCTCAACCTTAGCATAAACTGTTACCTTCAGCTAGAATGCCTTTTCCTTCAGGAATAGTCCAGCTCGCTCTCTCTGTAAGATTCATCTCAGACCTGTCATCTTTTTTAATTTCTCTGGGCCTAGGATGTCATATCACAGCCTCTTACCGTATCTGTAGTCACGTGTTTACATGTTGATGTCCTGCATTAGACTCCAAACCAGAGGACAGCAAGCTTTCTCTGTAGTGGCCAAACAGTAAGTCTTAGGTTTCGTGGGCCTGTGTTGCACCTGCTCATCGGTGCCACTGTAGTGCAAAAGCAGCTGTGGATAACAGGGCATGAATGAGTGGCTGTGTTTCCTAAAACTTTACTTACAAAAGTTCAGCGGACTGAAGGTGGTATGGTTGGGAGCCATGAATTACAGATCCCTGCTTAAGGTCTTAAAGAGAGGATAGGTGGTTCTACTGTTGCTTTTAAGTCACCAACATCAGGCACAAATGTTAAAAGAATGTCAATATTGACTAACAGCAAAAATTAGAAACTTTGAAACTGGTTGTACAAAGATAACACAGTACGCATATTTTCATTTCAAAATTGTTTGAATTGAAATGAGTTTTTTATTAATATTGATATGTTTGAAAAAATAGATTAGGTATAAAAACAATAAAATCAGAAGCTAGGAACACATTTTATTGATTTATATCAGAAGGAAATAAATGACTAAGGTAAAAAATGACATTAAAGATAATGTTCTTGAAGGAATTAAAGTAGAATGCTAATAAAATGGCAATATCTTTTCTTTTAACTGATGTAATACTGTTTTTTTTCTGTACCATCTTTTTAATTTAAGACATAGTCCTATCTGGATGATTGATTCAGCACTGCTAAAAATGTATCATTCTTTTGATGTGGTAGGGTTGGGGAAAGGTGGAATGCCACTGAACTTAGATCTACAATTAAAAAGGATTCTTATTTTTTTCTAGGTTGATTTGGAATCACATTCACAGAACAGAAGTCCTGAATCACGTCCTGCTGTTGTTTATCCCAATACCAAATTTCCTCGCAAAGATAATCTCAACCCAAGACATATAAATCTTCCTCTTCCTGCTCCCCATGCGCAATATACAATCCCTACTCGTCATTTTCATGCCCTTCCCCAGCTACCACGACCGCCATTTCCAATTCCACAGCAACACACCTTGTTAAATCAACAGCAGAATAATTTGCCTGAACAACCAAATCAAGTCCCACCGCAGCCAAATCAGGTAGTCCAGCAGCAAAGTCAGTTGAATCCGCCGGCCCAGCAGCCACCTCCTCAGCTTTCTCCTGCATATCAGGCAGGACCCAACAACACTTTTTTTCATAATGCCATTTCTCATCAACCACAGTCTCCTCCTGCAGAGACTGTGGTTCCTGAGCAGCAGCCCCCTCCCATGCTACAAGAAGGCCATAGTCCTCTGAGAGCCATTCCTCAGCCTGCCCCCCTCCTTCCTTCTCATCTGAATAGCTTCATTGATGAGAACCCCCCAGGATTACCTATTGGAGAGGCTTTAGGTAAGTTCACTAATGAAAAATTGAGTGTAATATTTTTTAATGTATTTGGTACAGGGTCTCACTACACAGCTCAGATTCATAGTGATCCTTCTGTTTCAGCCTCCCTAGTGCTGGGGTTACAGGCGTGCACCACCGCACCTGGATTCATTTACTCAGAGCATCTGGGGCAGGACCTGCACGGCATGTGTACCGGGAATCGAACCTGGGTGGTTGCACTTGCCTCGGCAGGCGCTTAGACTGCTGAGCCGTCTCCGTGACCCACGCATAGTATTTTCTTACAATTACATGCATTCTACATTATTGGTGTGGGCCAGGATTAATTCATTTCTTCACATGATGCCTGCAAAAATCAACCACTGAGCACAACCGTCAGAATCTGGCTCTGAGTGTGATGATGTAATGCCAGACACCCCGGGCTGTTGTGTTCTGTCTTTGTGCAAGCAGGAAAATCCATTGTTCTAATCTGGTTTTGTGTACAGTTACGAAGCTTCATGTACATCCTATGAAAACCAGTGTAGGAGGCATTTCTCTGTCTTTGTGGAGAAAGTATTGTTGTAAAAGCCATTGAAAAAATTAAATTAAGACCCCAAGTATCAAACTAATTTTTTGACAAATATTTCTGCAGAACGAATACATGGGAGTGTAGCTCTGGAAACATTGAGGCAGCAGCAAGCCCGTCTGCAGCAGTGGAGTGAACACCATGCCTATCTTAGTCAGGGAGGAATTCCGTTTCCACACCACCACCCTCACCTCCAGCATCTTCCTCAGCCGCCTGTGGCACTCCCTCCACCGCCAATGAGGGCGGACTGGAAGCTCCCCAACAGTGCTGAAGATGAAGCAGAAACAACATTCTCAAGGTAGTCCAGCCTCTGAAACAGCCCCGTTTTCTTTCTTTTAAATTTAAATTTATGTATTTGGTACAGGGTCTCAGTCTGCAGCTCAAAGGTGGGGCTGGCCTAGCATGTGGTGCCAGGGATCAAACCCAGTCCTTGGGCTTGCCAAGCTGGCACATAGACCCCTGAGCTTTTCCATGGCCCTGTTTTCTTTCTTGAGAGCAGCTGTATTGGTTTCAAGTTAGAGTATTGTCTCAATGAAATTGAATCCCTGCTCTCTTGATACATGCTGCTAAGTTCTCTTACTTGACTCTAAAATATACAGTTTATTTAGAAGTAAAAGTAACTCTTGCACTATTCCGGGCTGTAAGTTAAGTTTGTCTCTTGCTTTGTGATTTCTGCAAGAGCGACATCCCATCACTATAGGTGGTATTTCCACCCCAGTAGTATATTTACAAAAAAATAAGGACAGAAGCACATTGGTTAAAAATTTAAAGATTATCCCTGGGCCTGCCATGCTGGCCCTGCCCCCAGGCGTGCTGAGAAGTTGATTGAGACTGGGTGTGGTGGCACCCGCCTGTAATCCCAGCACTTGGGAGGCTGTAAACGTGAGGGTCACTAGAGTCCAAGCTATGCAGTGAGACCCTGTACACCCAATACACCCGGTCCTAAGTACAAAAAAAAGAAAGAAAGAAAAAGAAATTTAAAGATTATAAATTTACTATTAATTTTTTCTAGTAGGACAGACTCCTGCTTTGTAACTACACACAGATACTATGAGAGTTTGGTCCTGTTACAAAACTTGTTTTTGTGGCTAGCATCATGTGAATGCTATGAAGTCCTTCTACCAAGTCCTTTTGAGTAAGGCCCACCAACGTGGTGGCCTTTTATAGCATTCATGTATAGGCAAAGGCATACATGGGCAAGGGCAGATGTTTTCAATACAATGAGAGAATAAATACCAGTTAGGTAAATGGGACATATTTAGTGTCTTTAGTTCAGCAGCTGTTGAGTGGTAATGCGTATATTTGAGATTAATTAATGCTGATTCTTTTTGTTATGATTTGGTTTGCTGAAATTGCATAGGTAGTTGATTCAGCTCTTAAGATAATGGAGCTTTTCCTCAGTTTTCATATTTTGTTGTCTTTATGTAGGTTTCAAGACTTAATCAGAGAATTGTCGCATCGTGATCAAAGTGAAACTCGAGAACGAGCTGAAATGCCACCACCTCAGTCAAGGCTTTTGCAGTACAGACAAGTTCAGGCGAGAAGCCCACCAGCAGCCCCATCTCCCCCATCCAGCACAGACCACAGTAGCCACTTTTCTAATTTTAATGACAACAGCAGAGACATTGAAGTAGCCAACAACCCAGCATTTCCCCAGCGCCTTCCACCTCAGATATTCAGCTCACCCTTCTCATTGCCATCGGAACACCTTGCCACTCCTCCCCTGAAGTACCTGGGACCCGACGGGGCCTGGGCCTTTGCTAACCTCCAGCAGAGTCACTTGGCAGGGCCGGGCTTTCCTTATGGCCTCCCTCCGTTGCCTCATAGGCCGCCTCAGAACCCTTTTGTACAAGTACAAAACCATCAGCACGCTGTTGGTCAAGAGCCATTTCTTCCATTGTCATCTCGAACAGTATCTTCTTCTTCGCTCCCTAGCTTAGAAGAGGTAAATGTTTTTTTCCTTACTCTCCTGTTTAGCTTTATTGGTTGTGGTTGTATCAGTAAATTGATTTGCTAGTAGGGGCCAGCCCTTGGGTCGTTTAACACCTTTTAAAGATAATCCTGTATTGGAAATTACTTCAATTTGTACCTTTTATTGTGATCTTTTATATTTTTCAGAATGATCACTATTGTTAAAATATCAAGCCCTTTAAGAGTTTTTTTTTTTCTGTTTTCAAATATTTGACATCCGAGGACTCATATCAAGTAGCTTTGTCCTTACTAATTGGAGGAAGTAGTTTTCAGCGACTCTCCTTTTTACTCTTAAGTTACATTTATTCGTTACAAATTTGTAATTAGGGTTTTCTAAAGATGTTATTTTTTTTTAGCAAGTGGCCATTTATTGTTCTCACTCATTTTGGTGTTTTGATAAGACTGAGGCAATTAATACACAATGAGATTGATTCCCAGTTGCCAGAATTTACAGGTGTTTGACATAAAATTGACTCTGCTAAAATAAGCATTTTAAAATAGCTGATTTTTTTAGTGTGAAATACTTAGATATGTACAAAGAACGTCTTTATGGACCTTTGCTGATACAGAAAATTTAGTAATTTCTGGTTATAAAACTCCTAAATTGGTACCATGTGGTACAGACAATAAAAATCTTGTCTCACTATTTATAATAAGCTTTCAGGGATTAAAGATTAGAATGTATTGGAGCCGGGGATATAGCTTGGTGGCACAGCACCTGCCTGGCAAGCACAAGGTCCTGAGTTTGATTCCTGGTACCACAACCAAAAAAAAAAAAAAAAAGATTAGACTGTATAAAACTGGTGGTTCTTACAGTTACAGATATGTTAAAATAAGATAAACACCTCTAGTTTTGCTATATAAAAAACGTTTGATGGTAGCTTCCCCCATTTTGTCACTTCTAAAGGGCCATTGTAAATAATTGTTTCACACATTATCTGCTGCAGATGTTTTTTAAAAGTCAAGTTTCACAGGGAACCCTTTATATCCTGTCTGTAGGATGGTTTGTTCAAATGGTTCCAGTATTCACCAGCTCATTTTATATAACTGTCATTAAAACAATTGAATTACTATCTTACATTTTGGGCATAAGTTACAGCCATAGTAAAGACACAGTGGCCGGGCATGGTGGCACTCTCCTGGATCCTGCACCCTGGGAGACTGAAGTGGAGTGCAGGTTCAAGCCTAGTCTGGGCACTTAGTGACTTAGCACAGGAGCTACCACAGAGCGTCAGCAACAGGCAGAGTGAGGAGACAGCCCGTACTGTTGGAAAATGTTTGCTAGATGTGCTCCTCAGACAAAGGCTTTTTTTTTTTTGCCAGCTCAGCCCGCCCTGAAGGCGGGGCTGGCTGGTGCTGCATGGGGTGCTGAGGATCAAACCTCAGTCTCCTGCCTAAGCGTGCCTAAGCAGGCACTTTACATGGCTGAGCTATCTCGCTGGCCCCCAAAGGCTTACTTTTGAGAGCATATAAAGAACATATAACATATAAATCGTCCAGATTTAAAGACCTAATCCAAAAGTGGGCATCTGACATGAATATACACTTCTCAGATGAAGAAGTACAAACAGTAAATAAACACATGACTTAGTGAGATTCTGTCTCAAAATAAAAATGGGAAAAATGGCCTGGGGATGTAACTCAGTGTGAAGGCCCTAGGTTTGGTCCCTGGTACACGAAGAGGAGGAGGAGAAACTTGTATCTAAGTGTGTACCTTGTAAAAGTCTAGGATTTTGGAACCATACCTTATAAAGATTAAATATGTACCCAACATTATTTCAAAGTATAATGAGATGACTTCATAGCCAAGCAGTTACATAATTTTCAGTTAAGTGGAAATTGTTTTTGTCTGTGATGACATTCACATAGCTTGTCACTATTTTAGCCATGTAAAGTATATAATACATTGGGTTTTAGAATATTTGCAATATTATACAGCTATTACCACTGTCCATTTCAAGAGGATTTCATCATCCCTAAAAGAAACCCTATAACCATTAAGCAGTGTACCCTAATCTGTTCACTCCCAGTCCTTAGAACCTCTTATTTACTTTGTCTTGTTGGAGGTATTTCATATAAATGGAGTCATGCATATGTATAATTTTGTATCTAGTTTTTAAAATGCATCTATGCTGTAGCTTGTGTTTTAAAATGGCTGAATAATATTTCATTCTGTGGCTATCCCACAATTCATATATTTATCAGTTGATTGACATTTAGGTTGTTTCCAGTTTTTTTGGTGATTATGAATAATGTTGCTATGACCATTTATGAACAGGTTTTTGGGTGAAAAGAATATTTTGGTAGTGCACCTAGGAATAGGACTTCTGGATTATGCGGCAACCTTTATATTTAACTTTTTTAGGAGCTGCCAAAATGTTTTCCACAGTTTTCAGTATCATTTCACAGCCAGCAGCATATGAGGATTCTAGTTGCTCCACGTAACCACTTTTTAAAAAATGATAGCCATCTTAGTGGATGTGAAGCAGCATCTCATTGTAGTCTTGATATGCATTTTCTTAATAACTAATGAGGTTGAGCATCTTTTCACGTGCTTAGCGGCCATCTCTTCTTTGGAGAAATGTCTTCAGCTACTGTAATCAGTGGTTATCTTTTTGTTATTGAATTCAGTAATTTTTTCCCATATACTTAGACTCTTAATTTCATATATGACTTGCAGTTATTTTTTCTGCTTTATTATTTTTTTTCTTCCTTGTAGTGTTGTTTGACAAACAAAATGTTAAATTTGGATAAAGGATAATTTCTTGTGTTTTCTTTATTTGTGCTTTTGCTACTATGTCTATCTTAGATACTTTTCTTATTGCTGACAAGGAATACCCAACACTCAAAATTAAGGGAGGAAAGGTTCATTTAGCACACAGCATGTGGAGGCTTCAGTCCGTAGTTGGCTGGCTCCAAGGCAAGATGATGTGACAGAGGACATCACAAAGAAGAGACAGTTCTTTGTGTCTCTGGCAGGACGAAGGAAGCAAAGCAGTGGGGAAGCAAAGTGGCAAGTGACAATCAGGGCCCTCTTTCTGTCTTATATCCTACTTAGGCTCTCCACCCTTAGGGCGGAAAGCACTCACACCTAGAGTGGGCAGCTTTAATTAAACCTAGCATTACATCCTAATCAACCCGAGTTACACCCTTAATTCAGCTACCTCCAGATGCCCCCACCTATGACCACAAGAGGCGTGGGGGTGGGGGGGTCTTCTAGCTACAAGCCGTAGCACTGTCACAGAAACTGTTGGCTAATTCAAGATCACAAAATTTCACTTCTCTATTTCCTTCTAGGCATTTTATGTATAACCTCTTACACAGTCATTCTTTTATCCAGAATGTGGCTGTCTAGTTTTCTCAGTACTGTTTGTTGAAGACTTTAGTTTTCCACTGAATGGTCTTGGCAGCATTGCCAAAAATCAGTTGACTGTTGATGTTGAGTTTATTTCTGGACTTTGAATTCTATGTGAAATTGATCTGGGCTGGGGAAGTAGCTTGGTGTTCTTTTTTTTTTTTTTTTTAGCGTTCTTCTCTTTATTATCAAACTTCAACCTCCCAGGGCTGAGGATACAGTTCAGTGGCACACTGCCTGCCTGGTGAGGGCCTGAGTTCAATTCCAGTTACCAAAAAAAAAAAA